TTTTTTTTTTTTTTTTTTTTTTGCACCACTAGGGTTGAACCCAAGGCCTTCCCACTGAGCTACATTCCCAGCTCTTACTATTTTTTATTTTGAGATGGGGTCTTGCTAAGTGGAACTTGTGATCCTCCTGCCTCAGGCTCCCAAGTGCTGCGAATGCAGACATGATGTCAACCCTACTTGCTAGATAGCCCCAACCTCTGCAGAATGCCCTCTGCACCTTTTTCTCGGGGTCACCCTGAGTAAGCTGCTGGCCTAACAAGTCAGCCTACAAAACTGCCACCAGCACCAGGACAGGGAGAGGGTGTGACAAGTGGCTGCAGACTGACCCAAGGGAGAGGGTGTGACAAGTGGCTGCAGACTGACCCAAGGTCTTGGTCAGTGGAACTGCTCCAGCCCCTAGCCTCAGGCCACGCGCCGTACCCCAAAGCAGCACCCCTGAGGCCACCTGGCCCTGCAGGGCCCCTCACCTGACTGGACAGTGAACCACTTGAGCGCTGAGCCCACCTCCACTACGCAGCCGCCCCCGGACACCCAGGCCCAGAGTGGGGGTTCATCTGCCCCATAAGGCTCGTCCAGGCCCAGTGGAAAGAGTCCCAGGGAGGAGAGGCCTGTGGTTTCAGCAAAGTCTGCAGCGGAGTGGCTGGGCACCTTCCTGGGCTCCTTTAGGTCAATGTTGGTCCAGGGCAGCTCAGCAGGCATGGAGGCTGGTATAGGGTGCTCACTAGTGACAGAGGCCTGGGCAGTCTCCCCTCCACCCTCAGCGGGACAGGTGTCCTCCGAAGCATACTCTGTAGACCCCTCAGTCTCAGGGCCCAAGGCTGAGCTTCCCTTGGGGTCCCTGGAATTGTCTGAAGGCTCGTTAGGGGCAGACTGCTCAGGCGCAGGTTTCTCAGCTTCTGAGGCTGCATCAGTATCGCTGGGCACAGACTCACTGCCGCCCTTCACCTCGTCACCAAAGAAGCAGCCAGCACTGGGGATAGAACAAGGCAGACATCAGTTCTTCCTGGGGGATACACGTGGCTGCTATGACTGCTCCTCTGTACAGGTGGGTATGTACTTCCCAGGGTCCAAACATTCAGGCCACACCCCAGACCATCATAGCAACGCATCTGGGTACGGGGATCTGGAACTCATTTTTGTTTTTGTGGTACTGGGGATTAAACCCAGGGCCTTTGCACTGAGTCACATCACCAGCATTCTTTTTATTTATTTTCTGAGATAAGAGTCTTGCTAAGTCACTATGTTCCCCAGACAGTGTTCAAACTTTTGATCCTCCTGCTTCTGCCTCCAAGAGTAAGGGGATTACAGGTATGTCACACCATGTCTGGGTCTCATCTGGAATTCTTTTGTTGTTTGTTCCCCTGTAACAGGAAATCAAACTCTGGACTGAACTCAGGACCTTGCCCTTACCAGGCATGCATGGTGCCACTGAGCTAAATCCCCGGCCCCTGATCTGGAATTCTTTATTGTGATAAAATAATAAACTTGACCATTTATACCATCTGAAAGCATACACCTCAGCCTAAACCATTTAGCAAGATTCTGCCTCAAAATAAAAATAAATAAATAAAAAAGACTGGGGAATCAGCTTAGTGCTACAAAATATTCAAAACACTTATGTGAATCAAAGGATACTATCAAGAGAATGAAAAGATAACTCATACAATGGGGAGATATCTACAAATCACAAGGTAAGAACCTCACCTCTCAAATATATTTAAAAATATATTTCGTACACTGGCCTACTCCTACATGGTTTTCATAACCCCCGAGCTGGCGCTCCCATCCTCTTCCTCTGCCCACCCTACTCTTCTAGAGAACACTGATTTACTTTCTGTCACTATGGATTTGCCTATTCTGGACATTTCATATAAATAGAATCATGGAACCAGTGTGTGGCCTTCCATGTCTGGCTTCTTTCACTTAGCATAAGAGTTTTTTCTGTTTTACTTTAAGACAGGGTCTTGCTACATAGCCCAGGCTGGCTTTGGGCTTGTATTCTCCTGCCTTGGCCTCTCAAGTCCTGGGAGTACAGGCAAGTGATACAATGTGTTACTTAGCATAGTTTTAAGAATTTATCTACATCATAGTGTACATTAGTATTTCATTCCTTCCATTGACAAATATTTGGGCCGGGGATTTGGCCCAGTGGTTCTGCTGCCTCACAAGCGCAAGGGCCCAAGTTTGATCCCTGGTACCAAAAAAAAAAAAAAATCTACGGGCTAACATTGGCAAATATTTTATTTTTACCAACCTTTAAATTGTTTTCCCTAATGGCTACACGATTTTACACTCTCACCTGCAATGTGCCAGGGCTCTCACTGCTACAAACCCTCGTCGGCACCTGTCTTTCTTCTGAGTCACAGCTCTTCTGGCAGGCAAGACACGGTCTCCAATTGAGGTTTTGATTTACATTTCCCAAATGACTAATGATGCTGAACATCTTTGCATGTGCTTGTGGGTTTCTGTATATCGGCAAAGAAATATCTATCCATGCCCTAACCCTGAGTTGTACGCTAGCCCGCCCTTTTGGTTGTTCAAAGATTTTTTTTTTTTTTTTTTTTTTTTTGTTCGGGTTTTACC